TGAAAATTTTAATATAAATTTTGAGTTGTCTATATATATTTTTTAGAATTAATTTCAAGAATGATATATCAGAATAATCTTCCAAATAGAATGTGTTAACTCTCTTACAGGAAGTAAAATTTCTTATTATGAACTCCAAATGACTTGAATTTATTCAAATGAAAGATCTAGAAGTATGGATGTAATGTAAAAAGTTTTCAAAAGTTTAAATGATTATTCTCTTAGGTTACATGGTTTTTTCTTACTACAAAAATTTAGAAAAATAAAAATTACAGTCTATAACTGAGAAGAATATTTCAAAAGGGCACACTTGGTTTCATTTGTTGTGAAACAATTTTAAAACAATAACGAGAATTAGAGTCAAATGTGCACAAAATAATACTATTTTCTTAAAATTCTCTCTCTAATAAATTGAGTTAAAGGGTCACACCAAAATAATACACAAATAATTAAGTTTATTGACACACTTAAGTGAATAGAGGATAATGGATGTCACACCACAACTAACATTCTTTTAGGGTCAAATAGCGATTCAACAAAGATGGGAGACTCAGTTAGACATAATTTCCTTCATCACCAATTTTGGCTTGCATAAATGTGGGCTCTATGAGTGAGAATTTGTCTCATCTAATTATCACGAATATTCAAAATCTAATTCAATTCAAAATTCATTTACATTCTCAAATGCTTTGAAACTAGCATAATAATTTAACCAAAAAATATATAGAGCAGTCAAAAAAAATCAAGCATATAAAAATGCATATCCAAAAATCTATGTGTGTCTCTTGGAAAGAAGATGTGTGTCTCTTGGAGTGAAGATGTGCGTCTCTTGGAGTAAAGTAAGTTGGGGGAGTGGGGGGTGTTTTAGTAATTTTATTTGTGGTTTTATCAATATATTTTTGTGTAATTCTATGGGTATGTACCGAACTTTACTTCTGAAATAGTGAAATCGCCGCTCTGCTCCTGAGGACGTAGGCTCATTGTCGAACCTCATTAAATCTTTGTGTTTTCTTTTAGATTTGTGTCAATTCTTGATTTTTTCCCCTAAATTTCTCAACAATTTGTATCAGAGTGATGTTCTAGGGCAGAAAAGTCCGGCGCATGAAGGACGAAGAAGGATTCAACGATTTGGTAGAAAGGTTCAGCCAGGGCTTCAGGAAGTTTGAGGATTGCGACTGTTGGGAGACGAATGCGAGCTGTTCGGCGAGAGGGATTCGCGACATCACTACCAGACGAAGGTCAGCGGCCTGGCAAAGTTCCCGCAACCAGAAGGAGTTTGCTGCTTTGGTGCTTTGCAGGGGAGTTCGTGAATTGCAGAAGGAGGCAGTTTGCGGTAGTTTCAGCGAGGCAGTTTGCAGAGGAGTTGGTGAGTGGGCTTTAAACAGTTCGAACCAGGCACCAATGCAAAGGAGTTCAGCGAAGGAGTTTGGACGGTTCGTTGATAAGAAGAAACGTGATTTCGGAAAGCAGTCTTCCCTGAATCAAGAATCGAGACAGATCGCGATAGGAGTAATTTCAGATGGCATTGTCTGGTGCAATTTTTGAAGTGGTGAAATATGATGGAACCAAGAACTTCAAACTGCAGCAAACAATGGTAAAAAATTTGTTGGCACAACAAAGAATCTTAAATGTTTTGCGAGCAACAAAGCCTGATAATATGGAAGATGAAGAATAAGAAGAATTGCAACAACGAGAGGCATGATGAGAATAATTGCAACAATGAGCAGCAAATATCATACGTTTATGTCTAGCATATGAGATTATGCATCATGTTATGAATCTAAAATATATAGTAGAAGTATGGAAGAAATGGAAACTCAATTTCTATCAAAATCTCTGATAAATAAAATGTACCTGAAGCAAAAGTTGTATGGGCTGAAGATGCAAGAATGCTTTGATATGGCGCAGTATAATCGCAGATTTATCACGTCTTGATGTGAGTCTTGAGGATGAAGACTGGGCAATGATTTTGTTATGTTCATTGCCTTCCTCCTATGAACACTTGGTGACTACTCTTACATATGAAAAAAAATAATCAAAATTGATGAGATTACTGTAACATTGTGATGAGATTACTCCAACATTGTTGGCTTACAACAAGTGGAAACAAAATGCAGGGGAAAGCTCTCATGGTGATAGTTTATATGTTAAGGGTAATCAGGATCGTTGAAGGAAGAAGGAGAAGGCGAGTTCTGGAAGGCAAAATTTCAGGTTAAAGTCTAAAGGCAAAAAGACGATTCATTGTTACAAGTGCAAGGAGTCGGGGCATATGAAGTACGATTGTCCAAAGCTCAAGAAGCAAACTGATGAAAAACTTGATGTATCTTCCAAGTCTGTGAATATTGTGCAAAGTGACAATTTTGATTGCAGTGATGATGATATGCTTTCAGTTACAACAACTCAGTTGAAGGATGCATGGATTCTTGATTTATGATGCTCTTATCACATAACACCTAACATATAGTGGTTTACTTAATGCAGGTTATCTGCTTCTGGTTCAGTCTATTTGGGTGATGATAGATGTTACAATATTGCTGGTATTGGTGGAGTCAGAATTAAGATGTATGATGACACTGTCAGAACATTATGTGATGTAAGACATATTCCAGATTAAAAGAAGAATTTAATTTCTTTGGCCATTTTACACAGCAATGATTTTATTCTTATGACATATGAGGATATAGAAACCATGAGAATTATTAAAGATGCATTGACTGTGATGAAATGAAAGACCACTGCAGGTAATATATATAAACTGTTGGGGTGTACAGTTGTAGGTGAAGTTCATTTTGTCGAATCATATGATGATAATACAAAATTATGGCTTGCCGGCTAGTAAAGGAACTGGTGTTGAGCAAGGTGGAGTTCAGTTGTGACAGTCAGAGTGTCATTTACCTGACTAAAAATCAAGTTCATATTGATGAAAATGCAACTGATATGTTGACAAAGCCAGTTACTATCAACAAGTTATTGCATTACTTGAACTTGTTGAATGTTTGCAGTTGCTAGACAACATGATAGCCCAAACCACTTTGGTTTATGAGAAACTCCAAGGTATCTTCCTCTTAAAGGGATGGATATTCGTCAATGTGTAGATTTGTTAAATATGACTCATATACCAGAAATTGGTAGAAGAGATATGTCTCTTGGAGTGAAGAGATACGTCTCTTGAAGTGAAAATATGTGTCTCTTGGAAAGAAGAAGTGTGTCTCTTGGAGAGAAGAGACGTGTCTCTTGGAGTGAAGAGATGTGTCTCTTGGAAAAAAAATGCGTCTCTTGAAGTGAAGAGGTGTGTCTCTTGGAGTTAAGTAGGTTGGGATAGCGGGGGATTTTTAGTAATTTTATCAGTGGGTTTTGTCTATATATTTGTGTGTAACCCTATGGGTATGCACCGAACTTTCCTTTTGGAATAGTGAAATCGCCGCTCTGCTCCCAAGGACGTAAGCTCATTGTTGAACCTTGTTAAATCTCTGTGTTTTCTTCTGGATTTGTGTCAATTCTTGAATTTATTTGCCATAAATTGTTAAACATTTATCAACTTCTTAATATATGTTTCTAAAATTCTATCAGATACTTCAATATAAGTTAAATATTTTTGCATCTCAATATCTCCATATGAAATAATCTGCCCTATTTCAAAAACCTATTTTCTTAATTGATGTGTGTCGGAAGATTCACTGAACAAAGTGATTATTTTGATGTCTCAGTCTTGCACAAAAATCTAGTGCACACTAAGATAATAGAAGTAATAAGTATAGATACAAGAGGTTTTTACGTGAAAAACCGAAAAGAAAAAACCACGGGGTCTAACAAAGTTAAAATGATCCACAATGAGTTGATGATTACATGTACATATCATTATCCCACAGAGAGAAAAATATTACATAGTTTTTTGAAGTATAATGCTCATCACACAATAATTGTGACTGATTATAGTTGAGAGAATTTCTTGAACTTCAATATATCCTTTCTGAAGTGTATCACAACACAACATTTAGGAGGATGTGCTGCTCCATTAGGTTTTTTGTTATTTCACAACGTGAGTTGGGATTCTACAGCGTACGTCATGATTCAATAAGGAGTTTTGTTGCAACGGTCAGGATGCGACTGACGACAAGTGTGGTTGATAATGGTATGTGGCTACAAGAGCGGGAAGCTTTTGTCTTTGCTGTCACAGACAAACTTGAATTCAGCTCATTCTTAGCGAACCAACTCAAGCCTAGCTCTCTTTTTAGTTCAAGGCATAGGTCCCTCTTCATGAATGAGATATGCCACTATTATAGAGTATGAGAGAGGCCACCCTACAAATAAATAATTAATTCAAACAACTTTATCGGACGATTCAGAGAGATTCCCCCGATTGTACAACATTATGAGGACATTTAAGTGTTTTAATGATATATGAATTGAATGATTGGGCTTGTTGGACTTGTTTTGTCGAGGTGTTTGATTTGACGATAAACTTATCAAATTTAAAATCTATTTTACATTCCAATTTGACTAAATCTACTTGGTGGGGCTACCAACAATATTTTACATTAAAAAATATTTTTAGAATTCAAACAAATTAACCATATTATAACATTAGAATAAATAAACAATCATATAAATTACAATTGCAATATTACTTTAGATTGAATTTAAATTTCTTCAAAATAAACTAAGGCTCCGTTTAGGACAACAATGCGTCAACGGTACGACATCACACTGTTAATTTGGCTGTTTGTGTAAACTGCATTTTGACAGTTTTTTTTAAAAGTTGTAGTTGAAACTAACATTTTTACACTGTTCCTAATTGGATGCGATGATAGGTTTTTAGTTTTAATTTGACATTTCAAATAACAAATTGTAATAATCATGGTAATATTTTATAATATTAAATTATTTTTTGATAATTTTAAAATAATTTAAAAATAACTTCTTAATAAACTACAGCTCCTCAAAACAAACTCCAAAAGACCACCCATCAGGCTTAAACTATTGAGGCAAAATAAAGTTTTGAGGCAAAATAATTACACAATTTTAAAGGTCTGAACAGCACGATAGCCGAGTGGAACCGAAACCTAGTCGGGCTGCCCATCGGAGGCCAGGAGGAGATAATCCCATTGAACCTGCAGCAAAGGATAACGAGAAATCACATTCCAAAGATGGTGAAGGTGGCCAGCTTCTTCGGAATGGTATTTGGGGCTTTTCTCTTCTGGGAATCCATGGACAAGATCCATGTTTGGATGGCTCTCCACCAAGACGAGAAGGTTTGTCTCTTCCTCTCTCTCATCGCTTGCTACTGTGTTGGTTCTCTTGATCCAGGCATTAATTGACCAAAACCTAGTTTAAGATAATAAATTTACTTCAGATTGCAGTTCGAGCTATTTAATCTACCTCAGGCAGCTCATTCAACCCTATAGATTGTTTCTTGGGCTCTTTGATCTGTTCTTAAAATTTTTTGGCAGTTTTGTACATGTTATCGCTGCTTTGCCTTATTTCGTCCTAATCCTTGCGCTAGTTTTATTTATCTTCCATATTCATGCATCTTCTATTACTCGTAATCACCCAAGTTCATTTTTAGATATTATATTCTTAACCAGTTTTTTTTAACAGTCATAACATATATTCATTTTTGAATCCATCCATCAAATTTTGTCTTGCATCTGTGGTAACATTTTCATTTTTGCACTCCTAGCATGGCTATCGCTATATTATATTTTGTATAACTATTACATCAATATAAATTTAACTTGATAATCGTATTTTATAAGATTTACATACATTTCTGATGCATTTCTTGCTTTTAATACCTGGCCTTAAATTTAAAAGCGATATTCTCACTTATATCCATGCATCTATATAATAGATCCATATTTTTTGAACATATCATACTAGTTTTTCACTTTATATTCCAACGATGTTGATTTATAGGTATAAATTTCATACCACTAAAACTATGTACTAGTTTTAGTTTTTGTTATGATAATCCTAAGTCCTTTATTGTCCTAGCATTTATTTTACTCTTAAACTTGTTTTTTCTTATGCAAATGGAATATGCTTGGATACTTTAATTTAAATATTGTTTATAGGAATTGCTATAATTGGGAAGTAAACCTAATATTGATTTTTGATTTAAATCTATTGTGATTGAGAAGCCTTTGGTTACTATATTTACCACTTCTAATTGTTTTATTATAATTTGGATGCTCACCTTTCGTTCTAAATATCAATGATCATTGTTTTAGTTTCTATGATACTTGGCTCCTTTATTCTCAAAAAAATAAAAAACATATTGAGATTGCTCTTTTCTTTGTATACTTTATATCGTTTGTTTCCACAACAAAATATTCTCTTTATAGTGTATTCTTTTGGTATACAATCAAATTGATCCTTCAGACCAACTTGATTCTTCCAAGTACTTTATTACATACTCTTTCTTGTACTTTTATGGCTTAGAAACATGACCCCCTATAATTATTACCATACTTATCAACCCATTTTTTTAAAATGTGTGCGCCTTAATGCTTCTTCTCAAATTAATTTCCTTTCTCATAATCTTTAATTTTACTAAAAATATCGACTAGCCAAATGCTCTAGTATTCATTGCAAATTTCAAAATCTCAAAAGGTATATCCTCTCGACTTAAAAAGCTAATTAAAAATTCACTTTGTCGATTCATATGTGTTATATTTCATGATTATACTCATTATCCTTTTTGAAAATAGTATTTTTCTTTCAAAGTTCGTCTAAATATTTCTCAAGGTTCTATTTTCAACATTACTTGACGTCGTTCTTTTTAATTATGATCCTATCTTCACTTTTAGAACATCTAACTTGATAAAAAAAATTATTTCATATCTCTGCTTCAACTCGTTTGTATCTACTTTTCTACTATATTAATGCTTATCTTTTTATATATATCATAAAAATATATATATTTAATTGTTTTCAATCTTTACCAGAATTAGCTTTCTTTTAGTGTAAGCTTCAATAGTTTTTCTTTCTCTAACCCACTGATTATTTTGTACAATGAATCACTTTATGTTTAGCATTGTATTTATATTTTGGATATATCCTCGCTACTTTGTAATCAATGGATGGATGCAAAATTGCTCACCCAAAACGTTCAACTGCATGAACATGGTGTTCATTTCATTTGATTTTTTCAAGTTGATGCAATAAAATTACCATGTAAATATTTTTTATGCATTTTAATTTGGACCTTCATTTGAAATCAGATGATAATCAATTTACAATGGCGCACTTTCTTGTTTAGTTATTGGTTAAGTAGTAATGCCATTGTCAGGTTAATATTAAATCGTAGTTAGATTTGTTTTGCTTGGTTATTATTTACATCCTTTTATTTTTGTGGACCATGATATTCTTATATATATATAGTTGCGTATAACTAATCACTTTGTCTAATCATTCCCTCTACTTTTCTACCTTAAGCAAGAGAGGCTTGAAAAGGAAAGGGAGATTAGGAGGATGAAAGAAGAACTACTGGCTACAGAGAAGGATTCTTATACATAGTAATTTGTCTGGTTTTGGTGGTGTGCCTGGTCTTTGGTCTTCTGTTTATTTCTTCTCATCAACTTATCATCATGTAGACCTTAAAAATGTCATTATCGACTATCCTCAACGAACTTTGTACAAGTGTAATAAGCTCAATTATAACGGACAATAACTTTTGCTTATCTTCTTCTATTTTAGGCTGAACTATTTTATATGTAATTATATATATATATATGCCAATGTCTTTCTTATCAATTTTACACTCATCAGTCAAAACTTGGATTGAGAACTCTGGTTTCACAGAAATAGTATGGGCATAGCATCTAAACATGATGGTAGAAATTTTTTGGTGCCTTGATATGTAGAGATATAGTGCACTTATAGTAGTTAGTAATAAGTCCAAGTTGTTGCACCTATTGCTCTTGTTCACTTAGGTGTACCAGTAAATTTTTGAATAGAGAATGCATGCTTAATAAATTTGAAGTGTACTACATATGCGGGCTTTCATAATACTCGCTCTTGCAAATAAAGGAGGCGTGTTGTTCAACCAACGCAAGAATTCTCTTTTCTTGAATCCATTGCATATTAATGTAGGTCTTCAGATTGAATAATTTTTTGTGTAGAGTAAAAAGAAGGTTGTCTTCAACATTAATGCATTCTACGGACCCAACAGGTTCAATGGAAAGAATCTTCCATTGAACTTACTGGGTGTGTAGAATGTGTTAGAGATGACCATCCTTCTATTGCGTTTTGGCTATTTCATTGTGGATATTAACTCATGAAAACACTTATGCAAATATTCGATCTTTAGAATGACAACTTGATCTAGTCCATGGAAGTTTAAACCCAGATTTTGAATTTTTCCTACACATGTTTTATGCTGGGATGTTTTCTGCATGCTTAAAAGAATTATATTTTAAAACAATATTTTTCTTCAAGTGAATGCATGCTATGCTTCGCATCAACCAACAAAAAATGTTTAGATTTACTTTGGAATGCAAGTTAGTGAAAAAAATATGAATTTGAGCAGTCTAGATTGATAAAATCTTTGTTTTTAATACATCGGGGATAAAAAGTTTTTTATTTTGATTGCACATGCCAAGCTTGACTTAAAAGTTGAATTGGGAAACAATTTTATTGGGTGATATGCAATTTAAAATAACATGCAAGTAATATTTTAGTATTTCATATTAAATTTATACAACCATATTCTTTGATGACAGTCAAAATTTTTAGTTTTTAGTTTTTTTTTTTTTGGGTGCAACCCACTTGACCTAGTGATCTGGCGCTCTTTCTTGATCCATAAGTTCTTGATTTCAAGGTCTAGTGCATATGGGTGTGTGTGCGAGTTAAGAAAAAAAATAAACTAAATTAGAGAAGCAAATAAGCGGGTGAAATCTGTAATATTCCAATTCTAAGTCTTTTGTGAATGCCCATCATGTACTTTCACAGTGATCGAACCCCAAGATACCTGATAAATTTCTATATTATGCGTTTTTAAGAATATGGAGTTCTATTTAACGGCTTGAATAGCGAATTTATTGAAAATCTTAATGGTCTTTCTGAGTTGCTTTAGCTTAGTTGGGGTAAAATATGAATGATTTTATCCGTTCAAGTTTATCAGGGAACCACAAGGAAAAGGAGTTTTGTTGTGTTAGATTTGACTAAGAATACAAAGTGCTCATCTTTAGCAAACCATTGTTTAAGAAACAATAATTTTTTTTAGATACCATTCATTGATTCCTATCCCGCTTAGTGGAATAAGGCTTGTTGTTTTTGTTGTTGTTGTATACCGTTCATTGATTGGGAGCATGGGATCGTAGAGATCAATAAGCTGGTATTTTCACCATTCATGTTTTTGGTAGTTCGTTCAATTGTAAAAGAGCCTTCTCAAATTATTCAATGATAGTTTGTTGATGAGAACAAATTCTATTGCCTTGAAAGTTCTAGGTTAGTTGAGGTCGCATCATTTGAGAGCAATAAATCATACAACTCAAAATTTATTGTGCTTGTAGTCTTAACTCGTCAAAACTATTGGGCTCATCCATCCTCAGGTGGATACTCTAATCCTTATCTGCTCATAAAGGCAATTGGGAATGAGGGAAAATCTATTTTCAACTGCAGAACAACTTATACCCCAATGATAAGAGCATAAGAAGTTAAATAATGTCAATCAATGTGATAAAAATGAGTAAATATATTATTTTTGGTACTTCTGAAAGCTGTGTCGTTATCATATATAATATGTTATATATAATATGATATTTACACTAAAGCGATAAACAATATGATATTTGTGGAGCATCAAGATATTACCTGCTTTAACTTCTATATATGGAATTGCTTAAGCCTACTTGAAGCAGTTATCGATGGTGGCAAGAGTGAATCTGTAACCGTAGGATGATGTAGTGTTAATAGGACTGATGAAGTATATAACCTAGCTTTTAGAATGTCCATTAGGTTATAGTTAGATGGAATGTATTTGGAGTTTAATATTGTTCGATGCCATGAGATTGATACTGATATCATCTATGTGCATGGTCTATTTAACCCTTGGTCATTGAATGCCAATAATATCTATAGTGCTTAATTTTTCAATTTCATTTTGTGCCTAGATTTGTAAGGTCCACACAATCCTGAATGTATACAATTGTTACATTTTGGGTCTTTTATTTGTCTAGCCATTTAATCTATTTTTCGTCAAATGGTTTCAATAAGACATGCATTGTATGGATATGATAAAGTTACCTTTTTTTTCTATTTTTTATGGTAGGTTCATGTGGAAGTTTTACACATTGCATTAACGTTCTCATTAGGGGTGTGCATTATTGGGTCAAATCGAAAAATCGAACATAACCAAACAAGTTTTGCTTTTTCAGTTCCGTTTCAAAAATGCATTTTGATTTTTTATTTTTAAAATCTCAATATTTAGTTTTTAGTTATTGGTTTAGTTTTAATTTTCATTTAATCGAAAAATACAAAAATCAAAACTATATAGAGGATGCATGAAATTAAATTGATATTTTATATGCAAGATATGTAATTCTTGATGTTTGCTCATAACCAATATCCAACTAATAACTAAATTTTAGTTTGTTCATAACCAAACTCTTTAAAATTAATTAGATTTTGATTTGTTTGATTTGGTTTTATCAGAATTTTGATTGGTTTGGTTTTTTATATTTTGGATTTTGGTTGTAATTATTTTGGATTTGGTTGTAATTAACTTGACCAATTTAAAAACCTAATCATCCAAACCAACCGAATGCTCACCCTTGAATTTCATTTACTTATATGAATGCAGGGTGGAATCAGATCATGTTGTTTTCACACTTGCGTATTATAAATCTGCTTGGGACACTTTTTCGATTTTAAATTATATCTTTGTTGGGATTCATATTGAGTTTGTTATTTTGCTTGTTAATCCTAACGAGTGCATATGTCGGATCAATTTTACATTGGGGCATCCTCATCATGACTATCTGAATGTGTTGGATAAGTTCTATAACTCGTTGATGGCACTGAAGAAGTTGTGTTTTTAGAGCTTTGAATGACAACTTGGTTGATTATGAGTTGAAATTTCCTGTGATTTAATATTTTGAATTCTAAGCCAAAGATCAAAGCTTCAAATTTAACTTCACTGTTGGTATGATACTCTTATAAGATAGTGGAATACTACGATACAAATTTAGAATGATCAATGGCAGGCCAGTGTTTACTTGAGCTTGAAGAATTTGGTTGGGATCTGATATTTTAATTGAGTTTACACCTTTTAGAGAGTTCATAGTCTTTAACACAAGAAACTTTTCTTTCTGCCAAGCCATAATTAGGCAGATACTCTACAGGGTTATATTGTTTCTAGGAAATCCTCTACAGCCTATCCATTGATTGCCAACATGTTTGATATTATATTACAATAAGACATATTGACCACTAAGCCAAACTTATTGGGAATGTTAACCTGATCATCAAATATTGGAGAGAGTACAATGACTGGATCTGGTTAGACGTGTACGATAGGATGTATTGCTTTATTTTTTGCACTTGAAGATTAACACTATACAAAGTTTTTTTATGGCAACATATTTGATTTTAGTTGGTATAATTATATATGGTTGATATTATATAATACATTTTCCATTCATTATTCATTGTCTTGTGCTAAAAGGGAACCTAGGGACTCATTGAGTGCCTTTATATAGAGGTTGATGGGCTTGCCTTTTATTGATGCTGTGAGAATAAGAGATGACATCAAGTAGCATTTGATATTCTCATAGGCTGCCTTGTAAATTTTTTCTTATTTGAAGATTACATTTTTTGCAAGTGCAGTAGAAATACAAGTCTTCCTTAAAATGACGTCAATTGAGCCAGACTTGATGGAAGCTTCATGTCAATGATAAATTTAATTTTTAACAACTCTATCTCGATTCGACAGCTCTGTATGTCAAACCCAAGGAACTTCCTTGAGATTACCCTGTGCCTATTTCATGGTGTTCATCTTGGGACCATAGGGATGTAAGTGCTGATATATGATTGAGATATTAAAGAGATGGTTTTATAAGACTTAATTTTGACCATTATATAATACTCAAACTTGTTGTGGGTGAGCTTGCTAAATTTATAAGACTTAATTTTGACCATTATATTGTAGAAATAATACTCAAACTTGTTGTGGGTGAGCTTGCTAAAGATAAGGGTCTTGCTCGTTGTATGTGATATTGGCATTCTTGAGATCAAACTACGTTAGTTTAAAACAATCATGCAGAGTTTTGAATGTCGTGAATAGTTTGTTTTCTTTGGCTATTCTAACTTATTTATATTTATATGAGCCATTGATGAACGAGAATATTTAGTGGGATGAATTAATGCTGACCACAGCTTGGCAGTTAGGAGTTGAAAGTTGCCTTTTGTACCTCCTTTATAGGATCCTGGAAGTCTATATAAGTATGAATGTGAATGATCTTTTGGATTGGGACAATATTGTTTAATCACATTGTGTATTTTTCTTTCGGATGAATCCATCATCAATTATATTTTATTTTAATTT